GAGAGGAGCAGGCTCGGGTCGCTGCTGCTGACCCGGTGAAGGTAAGTGGTGGTGATGCACTGGGGTCAGAGAAGGGGAATGATCACTCTTTCGTCTGAGGACAGCTTCCTTTAAGAGTGTCTTTCTCGCAGTGGACCTGGATCCACGGACAGCAGTAGAGTTTGCTGCAGAGTACACAAACTCTGCATGTGTTTGTGTACACAGTTGTGTACACAGTTTATGTTGTGTACACAGTTGTGTACACAGAGTACATAAACTGTTGTGTATATCTATAAACTGTTGCATATATCTATAAACTGTTGTGTATATCTATAAACTGTTGCGTATATCTATAAACTGTTGCGTATATCTATAAACTGTTGCGTATATCTATAAACTGTGTTGCGTATATCTATAAACTGTGTTGCGTATATCTATAAACTGTGTTGCGTATATCTATAAACTGTTGCGTATATCTATAAACTGTGTTGCGTATATCTATAAACTGTTGCGTATATCTATAAACTGTTGCGTATATCTATAAACTGTTGCGTATATCTATAAACTGTTGCGTATATCTGCGGAGCACAGAGCAGTGGCTGAGACAGTTTTGAGTGAGCGTTTTTGAGGCTTTATGCACAAAACTAAGGAAAAACACATTGCTTTGTCAGAGGTGAATGAGGAAAAACAAATGTGTAATTACGCAGCGCAGGGTCAAGTGTATTTGTATAGCGCCTTTCACAGACCAGGATCACAAAGCACTTCACATTTAAAAGACATACAGATGACAATAACACACACAAGTCAGATTTAAAATCAAAGAAGAGAGTCCTCAGCATGATCTGTGAATTATTCAAAGTTTGCGTGTTTCCATTACACCTTTTCTGATGCGCAAATTCAAATGTTGAAACACATCTTATAATGTTGCCAGAGTGGGAACATGTTTATTGTTGTCCAAATCTTGAATTTCATGCGTGTTTTGGCGTGTGGTGCCGAAGGTTGAAATGAGCGTACACATTTACACCTGACCTGGTGTATATGTTTTGCATATCGTACGCTCACGTCCAGATTGATCAATGCAGAAAAGTGTCAATATTTTGCGTTCGCTTCATTTACCCTGATTTGGCCGTACGCAAGTTTCATACATGAGGGCCATTGTATGTATATATTGTAAGTATATAATGTATATATAACATGGTATATATTGTAAGTATATATTGTATATATAACATGGTATATATTGTAAGTATATATTGTATATATAACATGGTATATATTGTATGTATAGATTGTATATATAACATGGTATATATTGTATGTATAGATTGTATATATAACATGGTATATATTGTATATATAACATGGTATATATTGTATGTATATATTGTATATATAACATGGTATATATTGTAAGTATATATTGTATATGAGAACATGGTATATATTGTATATATAACATGGTATATATTGTATGTATATATTGTATATATAACATGGTATATATTGTAAGTATATAATGTATATATAACATGGTATATATTGTATATATAACATATATATAACCTGTTTGACTCTGTGCTGTAGGTCTACGATCTGCGTCAGGAGCTGAGCCATTTCTTCTTGATGCTTCACAAGTTCTTCGTTCTTTTTTGTCAGATCTTCGTTCAGAGTCACCATCTGTGAGTTGGACTCTCCTGAGGATATATATATATATATATTTATATATAGCTATATAAGTAACATATCTATATGTAGACTTACGGAGCTCCTTCACACAGTCGTGGACCAGACGCTGCTCCTTCTCCTCGTAGTTTATTGTGTCTCTTTTCAGTTGAGATGCCTGCAACAGACTCTAGTTACCATGGAAACAAGAGATACTACTACTACTGCTACTGCTACTACTGCTATTACTACTACTACTACTACTGCTATTACTACTACTACTACTACTACTACTGCTACTGCTGCTGCTGCTACTGCTACTACTACTGCTGCTGCTGCTACTACTGCTACTGCTACTACTTCTACTGCTAGTACTACTACTACTACTACTACTACTACTACTACTACTACTACTGCTACTACTTCTACTGCTAGTACTACTTCTTCTACTACTGCTACTACTACTACTACTGCTACTACTACTACTACTACTACTGCTACTAGAGCTGTGACCTCAGATCTTAGAGCCGTGTTCTCGTCCTCCAGATCCTGCAGTTTGTTTTGCAGATGCTCCAGTTGGTTGAGCGCCGCGGTTGCCATGGAGACGGCTCCAGGAGGCGGGTTCTGTCGTAGCGGCGTGGAGGCGGTGGAGTCAGTCTCGCTTTCCTCCGTCGCCACGATCCGCAACAACTCGTCCTTTTTACTGAGCTCATGCTGCAGCTGGTTCATCTGCAGATATGTACATTATTTAGACTCACACACTTTACAACAGCTCTTAGCTAACGTTAGTATCTTTACAACAGCACTAAGCTAACGTTAGTATCTTTACAACAGCTCTAAGCTAACGTTAGCATCTTTACAACAGCTCTAAGCTAACGTTAGCATCTTTACAACAGCTCTAAGCTAACGTTAGCATCTTTTACAACAGCTCTAAGCTAACGTTAGCATCTTTACAACAGCTCTAAGCTAACGTTAGCATCTTACAACAGCTCTAAGCTAACGTTAGCATCTTTACAACAGCTCTAAGCTAACGTTAGCATCCTTACAACAGCTCTAAGCTAACGTTAGTATCTTTACAACAGCTCTAAGCTAACGTTAGCATCTTTACAACAGCTCTAAGCTAACGTTAGCATCCTTACAACAGCTCTAAGCTAACGTTAGCATCTTTACAACAGCTCTAAGCTAACGTTAGCATCTTTACAACAGCTCTAAGCTAACGTTAGCATCTTTACAACAGCTCTAAGCTAACGTTAGCATCTTTACAACAGCTCTAAGCTAACGTTAGCATCTTTACAACAGCTCTAAGCTAACGTTAGCATCTTTACAACAGCTCTAAGCTAACGTTAGCATCTTTACAACAGCTCTAAGCTAACGTTAGCATCTTTACAACAGCTCTAAGCTAACGTTAGCATCTTTACAACAGCTCTAAGCTAACGTTAGCATCCTTACAACAGCTCTAAGCTAACGTTAGTATCTTTACAACAGCTCTAAGCTAACGTTGGCATCCTTACAACAGCTCTAAGCTAACGTTAGCATCCTTACAACAGCTCTAAGCTAACGTTAGCATCTTTACAACAGCTCTAAGCTAACGTTAGCATCTTTACAACAGCTCTAAGCTAACGTTAGCATCCTTACAACAGCTCTAAGCTAACGTTAGCATCTTTACAACAGCTCTAAGCTAACGTTAGCATCTTTACAACAGCTCTAAGCTAACGTTAGCATCTTTACAACAGCTCTAAGCTAACGTTAGCATCTTTACAACAGCTCTAAGCTAACGTTAGCATCTTTACAACAGCTCTAAGCTAACGTTAGCATCTTTACAACAGCTCTAAGCTAACGTTAGCATCTTTACAACAGCTCTAAGCTAACGTTAGCATCTTTACAACAGCTCTAAGCTAACGTTAGCATCTTTACAACAGCTCTAAGCTAACGTTAGCATCTTTACAACAGCTCTAAGCTAACGTTAGCATCTTTACAACAGCTCTAAGCTAACGTTAGCATCTTTACAACAGCTCTAAGCTAACGTTGGCATCTTTACAACAGCTCTAAGCTAACGTTAGCATCTTTACAACAGCTCTAAGCTAACGTTAGTATCTTTACAACAGCTCTAAGCTAACGTTAGCATCTTTACAACAGCTCTAAGCTAACGTTAGCATCTTTACAACAGCTCTAAGCTAACGTTGGCATCTTTACAACAGCTCTAAGCTAACGTTAGCATCTTTACAACAGCTCTAAGCTAACGTTGGCATCCTTACAACAGCTCTAAGCTAACGTTAGCATCTTTACAACAGCTCTAAGCTAACGTTGGCATCTTTACAACAGCTCTAAGCTAACGTTGGCATCCTTACAACAGCTCTAAGCTAACGTTAGCATCTTTACAACAGCTCTAAGCTAACGTTAGCATCTTTACAACAGCTCTAAGCTAACGTTAGCATCTTTACAACAGCTCTAAGCTAACGTTAGCATCTTTACAACAGCTCTAAGCTAACGTTAGCATCTTTACAACAGCTCTAGGTTAACATTAGCATCTTTACAACAGCTCTAAGTTGACTGTTGTTAGCTGCAAGCTAACATCAGTCTTGGCATTCACAGAAACTTGGTTAAATGAAAATGACAACAATGATGCTATTCTGGCTGGACAGAGACAAGCAACTGCCCGGGAAACAGCTGGGAGGTGGTGTTTGATTTGACGTCAACACACGCTGGTGTACCACAGTGACAGTCAGAGGAAAGTTGTGTAATTCAGACATTGAATTATTGGCCATTTCCCTGCGCCCTTTTTATTTACCTAGGGAATTCCCCCAACTTTTTTAAATTCTCATTTATGTCCATCCCAAGGCAAAATCAGCTGTTGCCATTGAACACATTAAGATGCCCCTACATTGGGTGTTTTAATAAGTGCTCACCAGTATGTGACCTGCACAACCAGATATAACAGCACACTTGATAAGTGCTCTGTTTTAGGTGCTTATAAATCTGTCCCGCTTCCTCCCATTGACCACTATGCTATCCTGCTGGCACCATCATACTTACCTGTAGTCAAACGGTCCTCCCCAATCACTAAAACCATCAAGCAGTGGACCCCTGATAGCCTTGATGAGCTTCAGGGATGTTTTGAATCCACTGATTGGGACTGTTTGACATCCTCTGATGGAGACTGTGTCAACATACATAACATTCTGTGTCGATAGCATCATTCCCACAAAGACGGTGACTATTTTTACGAACAATAAGCCATGGATTTCCAAAGACCTGAAGCAGATATTAAACAAGAAGAAAAGAGTATTTTTCACTGGTACAGATCTTGAGAAGAGAGAGGTTAATAAGGAAGTAAAACGTGCCAGAGCTCCATTAACAACAGCACAGTGCCGGATGTCTGGAAGCAGTCTACAGTGATCCCAGCCCCTAAAAGAGGAACTGCGAAGGTCCTCAATGATCTGAGACCTGTGGCTTTAACCTCCCTAGTGATGAAGAGCCTGGAGAGGATTATTAAAGGTTTCATCACTGAAATGGTTGAGCCTCTGATGGACCCTCTGCAGTTCGCTTACAAGTCTGCCCGGGGTGTGGATGATGCTACATTTTTTATTGTAGACACCATCCACAAACATCTGGAAACCCCAAATTCAATTGCCAGGCTCCTGTTTGCTGATTTTTCATCTGCTTTTAACACCATGCAGCCTCACATCCTTGCAGAGAAACTAACATCACGTTTCCATCTGGACCATCAGCTCGTCTTGTGGATTATTAGTTTCCTCACAGGGAGAACTCAGAGAGTACAAGTGAACAATATGATCTCTGATGTTCTGCTCACATCCACTGGCTTCCCACAGGGATGTGTTTTATCACCCCTTCTGTACATCCTCTACACGGACGATTGTAGGTCAACTCAGCCAAACTGTTATTGGGTTAAGTTTGCTGACGGTTCTCCTGTCCTTACTGTCTGCTCCCTCTCTGGGTCATGGTCCTGCTCTACAGGAGTTCATCTCATGGTGTGATAATTCCTACTTAGAGCTTAATATCAGTAAAACTAAGGACATGATTGTGACATTTTCTAACAAGCAGAGACAGCTTGCTGAGGCTGAATCTACTGCTATCAGGGGAGAGCGTGTGGAGGTAGTATCTAGGAACCATCTGTGATGACATTCTCAAATTCTCCAGTAACACGAGGAGCTCCTGAAAAAATGCCATCAGATGCAATATCTTTTAAGAAAATTAAGGGCGTTTGATGTCAATCCAAACATCATGACCTTTTACCATGCCTTTATTGAGAGTGTTCTTTCTTTTTCATGTGTTTGCTGGTTTTACTCTGTCACTGCACAAAACAGGGCTCAGTTAAACAGAGTTACAAATGTCTGCTCTAAGATCATTGGTCAGCCAATCAGATCCCTTCCTGCCCTGTGTGATCAGCAGGCCATGAGAGTGGCCTGTAGGATTCTGGGAGGCCCTGCTCATGTTTGAGTGGCTGCCTTCAGGGAGGAGGCTGCGCTCGGTGGGATGTAGGACGCAGAGGAGAAAATCCACTTTTGTTCCTACAGTGATTCATCTGAACTCAGACCCATCATTCCCCAGCACAGTGTTAAAACGCTCCTAACATTAACTTATTCAGGATGTGTGTGTAAATGTATTTAGTGTTTTTTTTTGTTTTGTTTTTTTATTGAGATTTTTAGCATGTAGTGTGTAACTTGCAACTCTCCGTGCTTTTTAATTGGGTTAGACCTAGACCTAGAGTATAGACTAGAGTATAGACTAGAGTATAGACTAGAGTATAGACCTAGAGTATAGACTAGAGTATAGACCTAGAGTATAGACTAGAGTATAGACTAGAGTATAGACCTAGAGTATAGACTAGAGTGCAGACCTAGAGTATAGACTAGAGTATAGACTAGAATATAGACTAGAGTATAGACCTAGAGTATAGACTAGAATATAGACTAGAGTATAGACCTAGAGTATAGACTAGAATATAGACTAGAGTATAGACTAGAGTATAGACCTAGAGTATAGACTACTAGAGTAGACTAGAGTATAGGCCAGAGGATAGACTAGAGGATAGACTAGAGTATAGACTAGAGTATAGACTAGAGTATAGACTAGAGTATAGACTAGAGAATAGACCTAGAGTATAGACCTAGAGTATAGACTAGAGTATAGATAGTTTACCTGGTCCAGGGCCTGTGCCAGCTGCTCCTCTATGGCCTCGTTTCGTTCCTGCAGCAGATGGTTCCTTTGAAGAAGAGACTGACCGATCCGAGCCGCGAGCTCCAGGTCCCTGTCCCTCTGTGGAAGATATTACGGTTACTCTACAACACTACAGTTACTCTACAATACTGTAGTTACTCTACAATAATAGTTACTCTACAATACTTGTGACTCTACAATACTACAGTTACTCGACAACACTACAGTTACTCTACAACACTACAGTTACTCTACAATACTACAGTTACTCTACAATTCTACAGTTACTCTACAACACTACAGTTACTCTACAACACTACAGTTACTCTACAACACTACAGTTACTCTACAATACTACAGTTACTCTACAACACTACAGTTACTCTACAATACTACTATTACTCTACAATACTACAGTTACTCTACAATACTACAGTTACTCTGCAACACTACAGTTACTTTACAACACTACACTTACTCTACAACACTACAGTTAATCTTCAACACTACAGTTACATTACAACACTACAGTTACTCTACAATACTACAGTTACTCTACAATACTAGTTACTGTAGAATACTTGTTACTCTACAATCTACAGTTACTCAACAACACTACAGTTACTCTACAACACTACAGTTACTCTACAATTCTACAGTTACTCTACAACACTAAAGTTACTCTACAATACTACAGTTACTCTACAACACTTCACTACAGTTACTCTACAATACTACAGTTACTCTACAATAATACAGTTACTCTACAACACTACACTTACTCTACAACACTACAGTTACTCTACAATACTAGTTACTCTACAATATTATTTACTCTACAACACTACAGGTACTCTACAATACTACAGTTAATCTACAACACTACAGTTACACTACAACACTACAGTTACTCTACAATACTACAGTTACTCTACAATTCTACAGTTACTCTACAACACTACAGTTACTCTATAATACTACAGTTACTTTACAATACTACAGTTACTCTACAACACTACACTTACTCTACAACACTACAGTTACTCTACAATACTGTAGTTACTCTACAATACTAGTTACTCTAAAATAATTGTTACTCTACAACACTACAGTTACTCTACCACACTACAGTTACTCTACAATACTACAGTTACTCTACAATTCTACAGTTACTCGACAACACTACAGTTACTCTACAATACTACAGTTACTCTACAATACTACAGTTACTCTACAATACTACAGTTCCTCTGCAACACTACAGTTACTCTACAACACTACACTTACTCTACAACACTACACTTACTCTACAATACTGTAGTTACTCTACAATACTAGTTACTCTACAATATTTGTTACTCTACAACACTACATTTACTCTACAATACTGTAGTTACTCTACAATACTAGTTACTCTACAATACTTGTTACTCTACAATACTACAGTATTCATTAATCATTTTTTTCAAACACAACAGTTACTCGACAATACTACAGTTACTCTACAACACTACAGTTACTCTACAACACTACAGTTACTCTACAACACTACAGTGACTCTACAATACTACACTACAGTTACTCTAAAATACTACAGTTACTCTACAACACTACAGTTACTTTACAACACTACACTTACTATACAACACTACAGTTACTCTACAACACTACAGTTACTCTACAATACTACAGTTAATCTACAACACTACAGTTACTCTACAATACTACAGTTACTCTACAATTCTACAGTTACTCTACAACACTACAGTTACTCTACAATACTACAGTTACTCTACAACACTACACTTACTCTACAACACTAAAGTTACTCTACAATACTGTAGTTACTCTACAATACTAGTTACTCTAAAATATTTGTTACTCTACAACACTACAGTTACTCTACAACACTACAGTTACTCTACAATATTACAGTTAATCTACAACACTACAGTTACTCTACAATACTACAGTTACTCTACAATTCTACAGTTACTCTACAACACTACAGTTACTCTACAATACTACAGTTACTCTACAATACTACAGTTCCTCTGCAACACTACAGTTACTCTACAACACCACACTTACTCTACAATACTGTAGTTACTGTACAATACTTGTTACTCTACAATACTACAGTTACTCTACAACACTACAGTTACTCTACAACACTACACTTACTCTACAATACTGTAGTTACTCTACAATACTAGTTACTCTACAATACTTGTTACTCTACAATACTACAGTTACTCGACAACACTACAGTTACTCGACAATACTACAGTTACTCTACAACACTACAGTTACTCTACAACACTACAGTTACTCTACAATACTACAGTTACTCTACAATACTACAGTTACTCTACAATACTACAGTTATTCTACAACACTACACTTACTCTACAACACTACATTTACTCTACAAATCTGTAGTTACTGTACAATACTAGTTACTCTACAATACTTGTTACTCTACAATACTACAGTTACTCTACAACACTACAGTTACTCTACAACACTACACTTACTCTACAATACTGTAGTTACTCTACAATACTAGTTACTCTACAATACTCCTTACTCTACAATACTACAGTTACTCGACAACACTACAGTTACTCTACAACACTACAGTTACTCTACAATACTACAGTTAATCTACAACACTACAGTTACTCTACAATACTACAGTTACTCTACAATACTACAGTTACTCTGCAACACTACAGTTACTCTACAACACTACACTACAGTTACTCTACAACACTACACTTACTCTACAACACTACACTTACTCTACAACACTACAGTTACTCTACAATACTGTAGTTACTCTACAATACTAATTACTCTACAATACTCCTTACTCTACAATACTACAGTTACTCTACAACACTACACTTACTCTACAACACTACAGTTACTCTACAATACTGTAGTTACTCTACAATACTAGTTACTCTACATTATTTGTTACTCTACAACACTACAGTTACTCTGCAACACTACAGTTACTCTACAACACTACACTACAGTTACTCTACAATACTACAGCTACTCTACAATACTACAGTTACTCTGCAACACTACAGTTATTCTACAACACTACACTACAGTTACTCTACAATACTACAGTTACTCTACAACACTACAGTTACTCTACAATACTACAGTTACTCTACAATACTACAGTTACTCTATAACACCACAGTTACTCTACAACACTACAGTTACTCTACAATACTGTAGTTTCTCTAAAATACTAGTTACTCTACAATTCTACAGTTACTCTATAAC